GGCCCTGCCCACGCCCGACCCCAGCCTGGCCTCTGGGTGTGTCTGCCGGACCCTCCTTCATGGCTGCTTTCCGTTGTTTTGGTTTTTGTTGCTGTTACTCTTCAGCCGAGGTCATGTTCCCATTGATTTTAGAGCGAGTGGAAGAGAGGGAAAGACAGAAACATCGATGTGAGAGAGACGCACTGATTGGTTGCCCCCTGCACACGCCCTGACCAGGGCCAGGGAGGAGCCTGCAACCGAGGTACCTGCCCTTGACCTGAATCGAACCCGGGACCCTTCGGTCCACAGGCTGGTGCTCTATCCACTGAGCCACACCGGCGAGGGCTCTGTTGTTTTGATTTTAAGAAATTGCTCCGACTGTGTTTGCTCGAAAATAGTGGAAAGAACCCCTGACTGTCCCCACGCCTCAGTGCCCGACTCCAGGTGGGGCGGGCGGAGACCTGGGGACGGGGGGGCCAGCCCTCGGCGGCCCTGGGCCCCTCCTGTTTCCCTCTGCCCGTTGGATGGGGGCAGCACCACCTATGCCAGGGCCTGGCAGCTGCGGGTTAGGGTTAGAGGCGATGGAACCGGGAGGGAGCCCAGGGGACCGATGGCAAGGGGCTCGTGCTGCTCCCACAGGGCCCGCCGTGCGGAGGAGGGGCCGCGACTCCCTGGGCATCGCTGTCCCTCTGGTGCTCTGGCTGGGGGAGGGGACACGACTGTGTGAGGCTTGGGGACCAGCTGCAGGGGGCACATGTGCTTTTGGCTCCTCCACTGTCACCCCCTCCTGGGTTTGTTGGGCTCAGACCCACAAGTGTCCCCCTGGCCCTATCCTGTGTTCACCTTGCTCTCAGAGGGCCTATCGGTGAAGACCATTGGCCGTAGAGGATAAGTAAGGATCTGCAGGTCAGTCAGGATGAGTGTCCCGGGGCTCTGGGGGATGAGTAGGAGTTTTCCGGGGTGGGGGGTGTCCAGCAAAAGCAGAGACATGGTGATATCATGAGTACGGCCCCCACTGCAGGCACAGCATGAGGATTCCCACTCATCCCGCAGGGCACCTCACTGAGGTCCATGCCCTTACTACCCCCGTGTTACACATGGGGAAACGGAGGCACGGTGTCGCTTTGTCAATAGCCCAGGAACCCAGGTCGGAAATGACAGAGCCCAATCAGAGCTCAGGGCTTGAGCGTTGGACTTCTGAACAGTTGATTCCCAGTCAGGGCACAGGCCTGGGTTGGGGGCTGGATCCCCAGTAGGGGGCGTGCAGGTGGCAGCTGGTCAGTGGTTCTCTCTCATCATGGATGTTTATCTCTCCCTCTCCTTCTTCTCTGAAGTCAATGAAAATATATATTTTTAAAAAGAAAGACAATGACAGCAGGGGTTTGAAGCCCACGGCCGGGCTCTTCGAGGCCCCTCTGCGCAGGTCGGTGTGCGCTGGGCGGTGAGGGGCCGCCTGGGCCTCGGGCTCTGGGCACTCAGGGAGCCGCCTTCTCCCGAGGATAATGAGTGGCCCTTTGAGAGCTGGGTTCGCAGGCTGGCTAGTAGGGGGTGGGGGGAGGGGAGAGACGCAGGCCGGCAGGGTGATTGGAGCAGAGGCACCTCAAGTACGGAAAGGCCCTGGGACTTGGTGGCGGAGGAAGGAGAGGGTTCCAGTCTGTCAGGAGGAGACATCCAGGGGCTGCCTCTGGGAGCATCTGAGACGGAGGCCCAGCCTGGCCAGGTCCCCGGTGGGGGTGGGGGTGGGGGTAGGGCCGAGGATAACGGGAGTGGGGAGGTGGGGGGCTGACGCCGGTGGAGGAGTTGTGGGGGCACCATACAGGGTTCAGTGGCTGAGCCTGGATGTGGGGGGTTGGGGTAGGCCGGGAGGGATTGAGGAGGGGGAGTCCTTGAGGCTGAGGGGAGCTGGAGGGAATGGGGGGTGATCATTATTATGCACTCTCTTTAGTCAAGTAATGCATGAATATATTCTTTCTTTTTTTAACTTCTCAGCCAAGGAAATACTGTTATTGATTGTCAGAGAGAGGAAGGGAGATAAAGAGGGAGAGAGAAACATTGATGTGAGAGGAACATCGATTGGTTGCCTCCTGTATGGGCCCCAACCGGGAATCAAACCCACACCCTTTTGGTGCAAGGGACAGCGCTGCAACCAATGGAGCCGCCCGGCCAGGGCGGAATGAATCCGTTATGCGTTTTTCACAAATGCAGTTGCTTTGCTGTCCAGCCCCGCCTGCCTGCCCCCAGGTCCGGGGACACCCAGAGCCCCAGCCACAGCCGCGGGGCTCCACGGGTCGCACGGACCGCCGCCTGCATGGGTCCTGCGGCCGCTCAGGGCTCTGGGGGGAGGCTGGGTGATGGCCAGATTCTCGCTCTAACGAACCATCTGAGAAGTCGCCCTGGACGGCCCTCCCGCGGGTGCACGTGGGCACCTCCCCAGCACGGATACTGTAGCCAGCCTCGCCGAGGGCTACAGTGTAACAACTCTCCCGAGGCTTTTTCTGAATGAACCTCCGTCCTTACAAACCCCTAGGGGAGCGCAGGGCGACGTCTCCCTTTCACGGGTGGGGGATGAGGCCCAGAGAAGTTAAGTGATCTGCCCAAGGCCGCACGGCTAGTGAGCAGCTCGAAGGGTCATGGGTGTGCACGTTCCTGCAAAGCAATTTTTATTTTATTACTTAAACCTGTTACTTTACACCTATTTTATCCACCCGAGGATATTGCCCGTTGGGTTTTGTTTGCTTGTTTTTTTTAAGAGAGAGGAAGGGAGGGAGAAACACTGGTTGCCTCCCAGGCACACCCCACGGGGAATCGAACCTGCAGCCTTCAGTGTACTCCAACCGGCTGAGCCGCCCAGAGGAGACGTGGCTCCTCCCCTTTTCTCCTTTTTCCTTTTTTTGAGCAGAGGAAAGAGTATCAGGCTTGTCTTGTGGAAGGACCAGGTGCGCCCCCCAATGGGGTGCTGGGCTAGGGGCATGGAGGGGGTGGAGGAGGTCTGGGGCCTCCTGCTCAGGATGGCAGAGGCCGCCAGTGGGGTCCCCTGGACTGCTCCCCACCCCAGACATGGAGCAGAGGAGGCAGGCGGAGGAGGCCAGCCTGTGGTGAGACCCTGTCTCTCTCCGTTGCTTCCTAGCGAATCTTGATGCCCGCCGGGAGCAGAGACTGAGCTGGACCACTGGAGCCTGGGTGAGTGGGGCCCGGGCCGCCGTGGGAAGGCAGTGGGGGGACCTCCTCGCAGCAGGGCCGAGGGTCGCTCTCTGGCTGTGTGAGGCCCGGTCCTGCCGGGACCTGTGTGTACATGTCTGCTCACGTGTCTTGCCCGTGGAGACCACTGCCAGGTCCTGGCTCCTGAGTCAGGTTTCGCTTGGTGGGGGGGCGGGCAGGCAGGGAGACTGGCGGTGTTCGGGCTGGTGGGAAGGGGCGCCTGTCCAGACCCTTCCCGGGCCAGTGGCAAAGGCTGGAGTGTGTGTGACTTCTTGGAAGTGCACCTCCGGCCTCTGGCCAGGACAGCCGCCTGGTGCCCCGAGGAAATCCCCGCGGCCAGCTTCCCGGTAGGCAGGGCCAGCGGGGGCCTGGGCCACCTTCAAAACAGGAAGCGCCCGTTCCAGGAACTCCCGAGGCAGGAAGTCCGCCGGCTGTGCCTGGCACTTCCCGCACTGGCCTGCCTTCAGCCCGGCGGCCTCTGGTCAGGTGGGCCGGTCACCCTTTGCTCCTGGGCCTGACCAGGCCGGTCACCTGAGGCTTTGTTTGCTCAGGAAGCGCAGGGGAGCTGCTGCCCGTGGAGGGTGACCCAGTCCCTCCTGCCAGCCTGACCAGCCGGGGCTCAGCACGGGGGGGTTCGAGCCTCACTCTGCCCTCCTGCCTGAAACCCAGAGGGTCCTGGGGCAGGGAGCCCGGTTTGGCCCTGGCCGGCTCCCCCAGGGCTGGCTGGGCAGTGGCTGGGTGTCCGTGCCAGGTCCTGGACCACACAGGAGGGACTCACTGGGCATGAGGTTGGCCAGCCTGGGGCCTGGGCTGGAGGGCCAGGCTGGGCTCTCCCCGGGGGCCCAAGGGGACTCCGTCAAGTGGACATTAACCACGGGAAGCCCACAGCATTCTTTCCCTGCACCGGGGCCACAGGTGGGGGCTGCAGGGTTAAGGGAGGGTTCAGGGTCAGAGCTGAGAGCTGTTTGGGGGCGGGGCTCCCCCAGCATTTCCCCACTCGGTTGGCTCTGGGTTCAAATCCCTGCCGGGCGCTTC